AGGCCACATGCTAGATGAATGGACTCTATTAAGAGGTCACAGGTATTAAGGAGTTACAGGATTTAAGCAGAGCAGTGGAGGACAGAGGTTCTTGGAGCTGTCTCATCCATAGGGTTGCCATGAGTCGAGATGGACTCGAGGGCAGTTAACAACAATTTACACTGTGCTTTCTTTAGCTCAGATTGCTATAATGAATAAAAAGAGTAATCAATTGCAATGCAGTCTAATGTATCTGCAGGGAACACCCTTCTTCATTATACCATGCACAAAGAGATCAATCTATGCAAAAGAAGAAATGCACACAAATTTGAAATTAAAAAAGGCAGGATAAACAACCCCAACCCCACCCAACCCCACCCCCGCCAGCTCTGGCAAGTTCCAGCATGAAACCAAAGAACAGCAGCTTATCAGAGAACAGCAGCTTATCAGAGAATATGGTTCTCTTCATTTGGGTCTGAACAGAAGCAATATTTTCCTACCAAACTACAAGTATTAATTTACTCAGCAGTTCTAAGATTGTGTTATCATCAGTTATGCTTCTCTGAAGAATCACTTGGCATATGCTTGAGCTCTAATTGAATTGTCACAGTGTACTTTTCACATGATACTACTATTCAACCTCAACAGATACATTTCCCTCCTTTACACCTGTGTATATATGTGTGTGAGAGAGACAGAGAGAGAGAGAGGATCACACTCCACATAACTGATGGTGTGAGCTATAGTCTAGAGCAGGGGTAGGCAACCTTTTTGAGCTGGGGGCTGGGTTGCTGTCCCTCAGACAATTTGGGGGGCCGAAGCACCAAAAATAAAAATAAAAATAAAAATAATTTTAAAAAATTAAAAAATATGCATGCACACTCTCTCAGCCCCAGAAAAGCCATGGCAACCCCCCTGTGGAGATTTTGCCAAGAAAACCCCAAGAACAAGTAATAACAACAATAACCAATATCATCATGGCAGGTGGCGGGTGGCGGCGGTGGCGGCAGGACCAGCCTGGGGCCTGTCCAAAGGCCTCGGGGGGCCGCATCCGGCCCCCGGGCCTTAGGTTGCCTACCCCTGGTCTAGAGCAAAACTTCACTAGTCTTTCAGGTGCTACAAGACTCCTATGCTGTTGTTTTCCACTTCCAGTTTGTAGAGCTGGAGTGGGAAACCCTCTAGTTGTCTTGGACTTCAACCCCGCCTCCCCAATCCTTTATCACTCATACTCCTAGTGGGGCCTTCTGGGAACTGAAGTCAAAAACATCTGGAGGGCCAATAGCCCTGATCTAGAATTTCATTCAGGCCCTACTCACTATTTCCATTGTTTATTGCTACAGTCCCACTACACAAACCTAGGCTAATTCCCACAAAATCTCCAGGCATCTCTATTTCTTATAATGGAATATTGAATCACAGACATGTTTTAAGACACTGTGGTGCAATTCAAAACATCTGGTTTTCATTCCTGACTTTACTTCATGTATACGCCTTGTGCAGCCTTGAAAAGACTTCTTGCAAAAAAACGTTCATAATACTGTTTTTCACCAACATCTTCCTCCCTTCTGTTTCGGTTTTGAAAAGATGTCTCCTGTGTGTCAAAGAACAATTATGAAAAGTCTTATTCCACTTGCAAACAAAACTTTCTTAAGGATAAAATTGAATAGCTTTGAATGTACTGTCTGGGTCATGACATTTTTGGCACAATATATATCTATCTATATATCTTCAAAATCTTCAAGTTTCACAGCTAGGTACAGCATGTCTCTACAAGTATGAAGTCACTCTGATTTCTGCTGTGATTGTAAGGTATGATTAGACCCAATTATTTAATTTTTTTGATAACTTAGGTCTCATCACCATATTCATCTATTAGAATGCATGGACAAATACTAATGAGAGTGTGGCTCAACAGACATTATTTAAACAAACACAGTAATGAACTATAAAAATGCATGGAATGCATAAATACTCTGAAGGCACCAGGTTCAGTTTGATCTTGGAAGCTAAGTGGGGTCAAGTCTGGTTAGAGCTTGGATGGGGAACCACCAGGCTGTAGGCTATATTTCAGAGGAAGGCAATGACAAACCACATCTGAGTATTCCTGGAGCAGTATTTCACTGGAATAGGGACACAGCAGGATCCAACCTACTTAGCCAAGAGGAGAAGGAGAGAAAAATAAGGAAAATTCAAAAGCAGTTGAAAAAGTGGAACAATGGAGGATTAATTCTGAATGTTCCTGCCAAATCAGGATAGTTGAAAATTATGCTCACACTGCTCCCCATCTGAATTTGAAAACTCACATGCACATCCCTGGAATTAAAGTTGTTGGAGAAAGGGGTTACTCCATTGGCACCAATCAGTAAGCAGGGGCTTGTACAGGGGTAAACCAGGGTGGTTCCAGACAAGTCTTTTGTCCTATAATCATCTGTTCCCAACATCTTACAGATAGTTTGGCTCAATGTTGTCTTAAATTTGTAACCCTCTTATGTTTCTTCACCATTTCTCCCATCTTTTTTCTACCTAAAAAAAAATCCATTAAGGAAGAAAAAGATAAAACAGAGTCTACACTGAAGCCCATTCCAAGACCTTCCCAGATTATTTTGAGTCATTCTGTCAGAGTACGTGAGTTGGTTTTACTTTGGACCAACCCTGGCCATGACATCCCTACAGCTCCTCCTTTCATTCCAAATTCCATTTGACAAATTCCATTGAATTAGAATATGCATGGGCCACATAGAGTGCAATTGGAAGCAATCCAGAATCTTTTTTTTTTTTTTTTTTTTGGCAGCACAAGTGTGAAATGTGCAATGGCACACCGAGTTGAACAATACATCTCCCCTGACTGGCTAAAGCCTGTGGACAGCCATGATACATCACATATCATGCTCACTGTACCCCAATTTATTGGTGCCTGCTAGTGTTGTAAAAATTACCCTTACTCGTCTCATTCCTGAAGAGGCAAGCAGTAATTTTTTTTACTTTTCTTGCTCATCACAGAATGAGATAGTTCATCTTAGTTATCCCTACCTCTCAGGGAAAGGTGACACATTCCTGACAAATTCCCAGAAGGATCAAAAGTGAACATTTGCTTAAATTATGTGTGTGGGTGCTAAACTAAGAAGAGGTGACAAGGACTAGCGGGTGGGTCAACACTCTTCCACTGCTAGCTTTTACTTGAGTTGCAATTCCTGGCCAGACTTGTAAAGAAACAAATACTATAGTGCAATATAACTCAATAAAATAACACAATGTTGCAGGAGGGAGGCATTGGGGGGGGATGAAAGGAAGAAGATTGTGAGGGCTCCAGGAGGCAGGAAGGGGATTGTCTACCCTACCCTGTTTTCTAAGTGGAGCATCCAACAGCCACAGAAGTCTACTTGGAATAACAGGCAAAATGGGGAGGGTGAACAAGCCATGTTGGGAAAGGCAAAAGGAACAAGGAAGGGATTCCAGGTGGCAGGAAGAGGTTCATCTACCACCATGAACTATGAGTGGAATCTCCAGCAGTCAGAGAAGTCTTCCTAGGATAGCAGGCAGCACAGGGAGAAAGGCAAAGACCTAGCTGCAGGCTGGACTACTCAGAATGAAGCCTCTGGACTGTTCCTTACTTCTGAGTAGATCTTTTTAGGATTGGGTGCAGTACAACTCTGGAGACCTGAGTTTGAAGCCCCACCATGGGTATTTTTGCATGCACTGGAAGTGGCCATCCAAATGTTGCTGGACTACAACTCTTAATGTATGCATGAAGAGCATTCTTCACCTTTGGCTCTGATGGTTGGGGCTGCTGGGACTCACAATCCATGAAAGTGGCCCAACTGTTTTGTGTTGTGCCTCTTTTTTGCCCTGTCATTTGTTTTTGTAAAGGAGAGGAGAGGAGGAACAGTTGCTTTGACCAATCCAAAGGAATGGGGGAGGGGAAACCTTCTCTGTATGGAAGCTACCCCAAACCAAAAGGGGGGGGGGGACAGAAGAAACAAGTGAGATTGCATATTTGTAAGCAGCTCCATGAACATACAAATGTTTATAGGCCAATGGCAAAGAAGGCAAACAATGGCACGCCATCTTTACCATAGGGAGCAAAAGAAAGAAAAGAGAAGAAAGCAGATCAGAGTTGTCTGGAAAGTTCAGGAAATCCCAGGGATCCCAAGAGGACATGTCCCATCCCACTAGGGCAGGGGTAGGCAACCTTTCCCCTTTAAGGGCCGAGGGACTTCAGCTCCCAGAAGCCTCAGCCATATTGGCCAATAGTCCCATGTTGGCCAATAGCTCCTGGGATTCTGGGAGCTGAAGTCCTTCAGCCCTTAAAGGGGAAAGGTTGCCTACCCCTGCACTAGGGCAATCCTGATTCTAACCTGAGCAATGAAACGTATGCAAAAAAAGGGCTGGGAGAAAATAGGTTAGAACTGGAATTATTTTGAGTCTATAACCCCTTGGGCCACCAAAGAATCTGTGACTGCTTAAGAAGGGCATGACAAAATGTCCATGGGGGGAGGGAGAATGGAGGCACATCTCAAAGTGCTTGCTGGTCTGCTGTTTTATTTTAGGAATAGCCCAATGTGTCTCAGTGTCTGTGGTGCAATGGTATCCCACACTGGGGTGTCACCCGGTGTGAGGGATGGGCTTTTGGGGTGGAGCCAAAAGGACACATGCCCAACTTGCTTTCAAGTGTGTCTGTCCCGTGTGGTTTTACTTGCGTTTACCACATGGGGCAGGGACAGAGGGCACCAGGCCCTCTTTCTGCCTGACATGCACTGTAGTGCACATTGGGGATGCTGGGGGGCACTTGGCCGGTGTCACCCCCCTTATGGTGTGTTACCCAGTGCAATCTGCACCCCAACACCCAACTGGTGTAATGTTGTTGTTGTTCTTGCTGTTCACTTTCAAGCCATTTCTGACTTATGGCAACCCTAAGGCAAACCTATTCTGGGTTTTCTTAGCAAAATTTGTTCAGATGAGGTTTGCCATTGCCTTCTCCTGAGACTGAGTGTGACTTGCCCCAGGTCCCCCAATTGGTTTCATGGCAGAGCTGGGCATCGAACCCTGGTCTCCAGGATTGTAGTTCAGCACTCAACCCACTACACCACACTGGCGGTCTTGCTATCTCTCTCTCTCTCTCTCTCTCTCTCTCTATCTATCTATCTATCTATCTATCTATCTTCAGGGTGATTAAATTCTAACTGCAGAAATTTCTGAAACTGAAAATGGAGTGGGGAAAAGAGAGGCTACTGCAGGCTGCTTCAGGCTGGCTCAGAGGTCTCTGGCTTGGCTAGCTGGTGTTTCCGAGGGGTGGAGAAACAGCGAGAAGGGGTGTGGCTAGGAGTGGCTGGCTTTCAAAAGCCACTCCTCCACCCCTCGGAAACACCAGCTAGCCAAGCCAGAGACCTCTGAGCCAGCCTGCAGCAGCCTCTCTCCCCCACTCCACCAGAGCCAGAAGACTGCAGAAGCAGAGTTACTTCAGGAGCAGGGTAGCAGCGAGAGGGGGCATGGCTAAGAGTGGCTGGCTTCAAAAGTCACTCCTCTATGCATGGCCGGGAATGATTTGGGAATGGAAATTGAGGTTGTGTGGGGGAAAGGAAGGTATGGCGGGAACAGAGTGAAGGGCTGTTACAAAATAAGGTGGGATCAATGGTTGAAAGCTATCCCGCCTTCAGTTCACCCTGTTTCCTGGAATGGACTGGAGAGCGTACCAATCATTCCACAGAACCTTACCTTACTCCTTTGCAATGCCAGGTAGGTCAAAAATAAGACCCATATCATTTATGACTTCCTCTTAGATGAGGATGCTGACCTGGCTTGCTTTATAGAGACCTGGCTGGGAGACAAAAGTGCTATAACTTGGGCACAAGCCCTCCCAGCCGGGTACTCTGTTAGTGAGCAGATAAGAGGAAGTGAGTAGGGGGGTGGCTCTGGTTCACAAGAACAACCTTACCTTGACCAGGATACCTGTCTGGAACACAGTCCACTTCAAGTGTATGTACCTAAGCCTGAGGACTAAGGATAGTTTGGGGATTCTGTTAGTATACCAGCCACCCCATTGTTTAACAGACTCCCTAACCGAGCTGATGCAGCTGGTCTCAGAGTTGCTGTTGGAGTCGCCTAGACTTTTAGTCTTGGGCAATTTCAACATCTCACTTGAGACCAGTTTGTCAAATCTAACAGGTGCGGCTCGGGAGTTCA